GTGTGTGTGTGCGTGTGTGTGTGTGTGTGTGTGCGTGTGTGTGTGTGTGTGTGTGTGTGTGTGTGTGCGCAGGGTCGGACAGCAGCAGACTTCGACGAGCCCCTCAGGATAGAAGAAGACTCTCCGTGGCAAACAAAACAAACGTGAGTTCATTTCCTGATTCATTAAATATGTTTTGTGGATATTTAAAAACAGAATGAAGTTTTCACGTGACTGTTTACTCGTGTGTTTGTGGTCCCAGGTCAAAGGTCACAGGGGGCACGGAGCTCCACATCGACATGATCAACCAGCTGAAGGAGGCTGTGGAGCTGCTGCAGGACCCCAGCAGGTGACAGCTTCACTCATCTATGCTCTTACCACTTATGTTTCACAGACGAGTGCAGTTGAATACATTTGTTCTATCACCTCCCGAAGTGTCGACCGCTGCACGACAAAGTTTACAGATCACTGACACTGAAACGTCCTGCATGAACGAGCCTGTACGAGACGTGTGATTCACTTCCAGCAGACGGTCCAGTAGGGGATCGTTTGTTTGTCACTAGAGTGAGGAGAGTGGGTGTAAGTGGTTAAACGTGAATCCTCCATGTTCCATAGAAACTCGTCCGCTCGCTCACCTCTACCACTGAGATCCCAGTTTCTCTTGATTATCACGATTAGCTCTAACGAGTTTGGCTGTTTTTTTTCATTCATTAGAAAACACTGAGAGCTGAAAATAATTTATCCTCCACAACAAAAACTCGACTCAGTGAATGGACACCTGAGAACGAGCTTTAATGAATCTAACTTTGACAGCGTTGGTTCTCTTGTGTGTCAGAGTGAACACGGAGCAGGACGACCTGTCTGGAGTCCAACTCTACCCGGTGGAGATGGTCACAGTGGAGGAGTCGCTCAAGTAAGACTCACAGTTCACCCTCACTTCTCACACCTGTGTAGCTGTTGTCTGTCTCCTGTGTGTGTCGTGTTAATCAGCCGGTTGTTCTTCACCTGTTTCACCCTAAAATAAAAAGGTTCTCTCTCTCCTCAGTGGTCAGGACAGCGATGACGGCAGCACCACACCAAAGGTACAGTTCTAACCTGTCTCACGTTAATAGACACAGAACAGCAGGTTGTCATCAGCGTACATGAACAGTTATAAACAGTTTTAATCTGGAGAGACGTCGAGGCTAAGAGCAGTGAAAAACAAACTACTTTACCCATAATGCTTTTCACCTTTCCTGCAAGTATTTCAGTGAATCTCGAGGATTGAATCAGTCACATGTCTTTAAACACGTATGTTGCATCAGGACTAAATGGCTGAAAAGAGATTCTGAACCTAAACACAGACAATCATTGTGTTTGAGTCGTGTGACAAAAGAAACCGGTTGGACCGAGTTTCTGTGAATGGAAGATTAACCAGAAGATTAACCAGAAGATTAACCAGAAGATTAACCAGAAGATTAACCAGAAGCCTTGTTGTTGGACGACAGCTGATCTGAGGTTGATTAAGATCTCGTTAAACAGAACGAAGCATAATTATATCACTTGAGAAGAGTTGAAACTAATTTACAAACACAATTTTCACCCGATGAGTTTGCACCTCTGCTTAAATACATTTTCCTTGATGAGTTTAATTGTGTGATAAAGTACAAATAGTGTTTTTGTGTCTTCGTCCTTGGGTTCACTGTTTAAAGTCTTTTTAAGGAGGTAATAGAGGATATTTAAGTCTTTTGAGGCCTAAACGTCTGCTGCGTTTTGTAGCAGCACGTGGAGGAGGCTGGATATGAGTTCCAGAAGAAAAGACTGATGATTCTAGAGAAGGCCAGGTTTGAGGCCCAGCTTGCATGTCGGGAGTATGAGTGGCATATGTCAATCAAGGTAAACGTACTGTAGAACCAGTGGATGTGGTCCCGCCCACTCATCTGTCTGCAGTCGTGTCAGATCTGAACAGTCGTGTGTCTGAGTGTGTTTCTTATGAATTAACCACATGGAGCTTTCACATGTGTGACATGTCGTCCAGCAGCAGGCGACACGCGTGTGAGCGGTGGCTACACGTCAGACCAGATCTTTCACCAGGAGCTCAAAGCTTCTTTAGAAAACCGGCGGCTGGTGAATTGGCGTCTTGTTGCATGTCGTCTGCAGACGTGGCTGATGTTTGACGTCTGTTTGTGTCAGAGCAACAAACAATGTCTCACAATAAGATTTTCTATTTTGTCCTGTGAGTTATTATGTTATAGGTTGTCCGTCTCATTCTCTCAGTCTTGTGACCTTGGCAACGCGTTGTCTTAAGAACGAGAATCCTTTTAAATGTAATGCTAAGATATATTTCTTCACATTTTAACCAGTGTTCACGTGGACTCAAAGATGAACTGATTGGATTTCAGAGGTCAAAGGTCTCAGTGACGTCCTCTTTGAACCAGTTTCTCTGTGCAGTCGTTTGTCCCACATCCGGCGTCTCGTCAACAACTTTCACTTTGAGTTCTCATTCATGGAACTGTCTCACTCACCGTGTTGTTTCTGTCGCCACAGCACGGTGACAGATCTCCGGCCGCCGGACACACATCCTTCTCCAGTCCGCCGTTTGGACTGAAGCCCCGATCAGGTGAGTTGGATGTGGGGTAAGAGGGTGGGTCAGGTGACTGGTTAGGACTCCGGTGTTTCTGAACGTTGTAAAATTATTCAACGTAACGATTCAACATGTTTTACGTTTTCTGTCAGATGCAGGTTTCCATCATGAATGTGTGAATGAATGCAGGTAGCATGAGTGGGTTTAGATCCACATGTCGTGCTGCCGCCTGTTTTAAATGTTTATCTTTACAAAGCATCAGATATTTAAAATCTGGAGGTGGAATCAATAAGTCCTGCTTTCAGACTGAAAGACCACGCTGCAGAAAATCTTAGTCCACGGCTTCAGTGAGAACACATGCTAACGCTAGGTCTGAGCTAACGTTCGTCCACGGTCGTGTTCGATGCAGCTTCGTGGTCACTGCTCGTCCGCTGTGTTTAGCTCTGCAACCTTCAAGCATTTGTTTGCTAACTATTAGCTGTGTGAAATGTTGCTAAGTGCTAATGAAGCTAACATGATGCTAACAGCATGTCGAGATATCTGTATTGTGAAATGCGACTAATCTTTATTTTGTTTTTTGTGCTGTTTTTTTGTTCTGTGTCGTCGTCTCATGTTTTTCCCTGTTTTCACTCTTTCTTTTTTTCGATTTACACGTTTTTATTTCCTCCATCGTTCATTCCTCCGCTCATTGATCTGGTGCCTGACTTTTGATGTTAAAATCATAAATGCATGTGATCCGATCTGCGTGCATGTGTCACCCTGGTTCTAACTCCCTGACACTCATTCTTTCGGACCCTGGTTCTGGTGATGTTGGTGTTTTCGGGCGTGTATTCTCGTGGAATGAACTTTGCCTTGCTCACCGGGTTCACCTTGTTCACCTTGATGCTCCAAACCTTCACCACACACACGCAACACCCAATTCTGACCACTCCCACCTTCTGGTTGTAGCCCCGCCCTCGCTGCCCTGCTCGCCCCCTCCTTCCTGTCTCGACCCCTCCCTCCTCTCACAGGCCTCGCCCCTCCGTAGAGATACACCGCGTAGCCATGACGACGGAGGCACGCACAGCCGCGGTAGGTTTCATCTTTTTCAGTTAACGGGTTAACGGCCTCGGACTCGGGTGTCTGCTGACCCTCCTCCTCTTCCCAGACTCCACCTGGAGTTTGTATTTGTCTTCAAAGTGAAGAAAATCTGGAACTTAACTTTAGTTTTGTGGTAGAAAGTCTGAATTTTCTTCTTCCTTTTCTAATCCATGTTTTCTTTCACAATGGGTTTCAGCTGCCAACTCAGATCTTTACGTACATTTAAAAAGTATCAAGACAAATTGTAAAAGCAACATGAAACTGCAGATTGAAACGGTGACTGGGAACATCCTGAACGTACGATTCTCTTAGTTCAAACAAACAGGGAACTTAATGTTCTGAGGAGGTTTAATGTAGAACTGTGACTCTCTAGCTCCTCCTGTTGGTGTAAAGCTTGTGTGACAACACAAGTTCAGTTCAGCTTCTTTTGTCTCTGTGTTTTCTGCTCAGACGACTTGTTACAGCTGTGTGTGTGTGTGTGTGTGTGTGTGTGTGTGTGTG